GGACTTGTATCGCTAAAGTTTCATCCGAAAGAAATTATACGGGAAATTAACAAACGACCAGAGACGTAACAGTATCAAACGATAAACGCTGGAGTTTTCTTCTAATTCATGTACAATGGTATTTGCAACAAGTTCATATCCTATGTTTCAACTCTTGTAACTTTGGAACTAAATATTGTTCCAACACCAAAACTTACACATATTTGTTTTTCAATATATATATATATGTATGTCACACACGACTAATAACTGATACATTCTCTATGAGTAACAAACGAACACACGTCATACATAATAATCTCCTACGTTTCAGCTCTTATAACTTTAGAATTAAGTACTTTTCCAATACTAAACTCGCGTATAATTTTCTGTCACAAATAGTAGTCTTCACACTCTCTATAAAAAAACAACAACTCTACATGGATAATAATGACCTGTGTTTCAATACTCATATAACACTGGAATTAAAACAAAAATTCCAACACTAAACTTATATTATTTTAAGATAGAGTGCACCTGTTGTTTTCATAAATACTGCAGAAATGATGTTTCAATTCTGACATTAAAATATTTGGCAGGTGGTGAATTTTCACGGAAGGATAAGCTACAGTAACAATAAAATTCGAACAACATCTGGGCGAAAGGATAGTTTTACGTGGTGTTTTTAGATAAAATAAACTTAAAATATTTCAACTGAATCGAATCAAAATACTTAAGAGTAGGTGAAATTATCAACAGCATGTGAAATTCGCAAAAGGAAGCTTGGCTATCATGACAAATAGATATTTGGTGTATTCAATGTTTTATCTGGTTATGATGGAATATTATCAGTCATGCACATTGAAATATTTATAAGCACACATTTTTACTGAATATTTTTAGAAATAGTTATATCGTGGACATGAGAACAAAGATTGAAAACAAACTCTCATAATTAATTTTCAATAAAATATCTTGATTATAAAAATACAGCAACAAAGTTTGAGCACATTCATTAATGTTTAGAAGTTTTACACATTTCCAACAGTCAACACATCTTCTAAATTCGTATGTTGTTTAAGAGGTATAAAACAGTGTCGCAAGTTTCTGTTGAGGAGAAATAAATTAAAGGAATCTCAATCAGATCTGATATTCTCTCAATCAGAAGAATGAACACTTGAGGCATCACTGCCAACATTAAAAGTTTGAAAACGTTTTTGTCCTCCCATGCACATAATCTCTAAGTAATACACGACATATATATATATATCCAATAAACACAACAGTAGAAGCTTCGAGTAAGTGTTAAAATGAAAATAAAATTCAACTAGTTAGGTCTGACAATAATTTTCCTAAACAACAAAACTTGTTTAATACCTAAAATTGCCAAATTACTGTTTATACAATAACCCTTTCCAGACTGAATATCTATGAGATTTTATTGTCATCCAGTGCAACAGAACAAACAGTGACTCTGAACTTTGTAAGATACCATAACATGAATACTAAGGTACTTATGGCAAATAGAGCAATGATTGTTCACAATCAATACTGTCTATGTGTATGATAAAGTTTAAGACAGTTTCTACCTTTGTTGAGACACAAGTATACTTCACAGTGATTGCGCATAAAATGGACGCGATAACAATTTCCTTCATAGGTTCATGCGAATTTCCATTTTTGCACACACCTCCTGCTCTTGCAATCCTTTCATTACAAACCCTAAAGTCATGAATGGTTTCATTTAACACTGGAAAGTGTTGTTCCACGTTTTCCAGTCTCTAAGCATCATGTGGACCAGGGAGGGTCAGGTTCAGCGTTGACCTCCTCCTCCTTCTCAGGAATTGTTATTTTGTTTGCACTGTTACTGAATTCTAGGTAATAACCCTTGTTACATTGTTGCATTACTCACAGTATGTTCCGCAGTTTTAATTAACATACCGTTTTCGTGCCATGTCCAATTCATGGGGTAATATATTTTCACTAGCTACACTTATGCATGATCGCACTATTAGTCCGTGTTCACAATACAGCTTCACCTAGCAGTCATATACACGCACATAATCCTTTTTTCACATACAAAACCCTTTTAAAATAGCTACGATGGTGACTAGAATTAAGATAGGCTAGAACTCTTTGGCCTGTATGTTTCTTATTTGTAATTGTTTAGAGGGGAGAGGTACTTAGGGCTTGGTTACGTCATGTATTATATAACTCTCTAGTTTGTTCATCTGTTCTTTATTTATTTTTCTTATAATATTGAAGCGAGTTATCTAGGAGTCTGTCTGAGAGAGTTAACATGGTTGAATATTTGTGTAGAAATATTAAGTTTGTTATTGTAGGATTCTATATGCTTTCGTTAAAATATAGTTTTTGTATTTGTTGTAATTTGTTGATGTGTGTTTTTGATACATCTATCCATGTTACACGGACATATTCTACGACTGGTCTTATGTACGTTCTGTAATTTTTTAACACGTCCCTCAGGAGCCAAGGGGTGTCTTTACACTAAAATTTGTTGAAAGTTTTTAGTAAAACCGAAAGGTACTATATGCACTATTTGTTTGTTTGTTTGTTTTTG